TCCAGCTGCCCAGGAGCTGCCACCCCTCCAGCTGACCATCCTCAGACCTCCAGGCCCGAGGGGGGACTGGGTCTCCAGGCGGAAAGAGTGATTTCCCTGCAGAGGAGGACCAGAGGCCGCCCTTGGGAATCCGCTGGGAGTCAACGTGGGCCACTTCATCCCTCCTCACTGAGTGTGTGCATGGCCAAGGCCATCTGGGCACAGCCATCGTGTCCTCGGCAGACGTGGGTGGAATCAAGAAGTGGGTTCAGAACAGGCAGGCCAGCCACTGAAGCGTGTCCTGGACAGCGGGAGGGAGGGCAGAGGGGGAGAGGAGCAGGGGACGATGGCGGGAGGCCAGTGCCAGAGGTCCTGTGTGCCATGCGGCCACGGTCCCAGGATCCAAAGGGAGGATAGCTAAGCCTCACTGATTTTATTGTCAATTACTGTTAAACCTTCCGAGTCCAGCGAACCCCTTGTCAAGCATTTCTTTGCCTATTTAATATTTAACCCTGTGTGCCTTTAAAGTGAAATTTAACCCAGGTATTTTGGATTCATAAGAAAGAGAGAGAGAGAGAGAGAGAGAGAGAGAGAGAGAGAGAGAGAGAGAGAGAGAGAGAGAGAGAGATATGTTGTTTTGTCAGTAATATTCAACATCCAAGGAAGTTTTTGAGCAACTTTTCTTACAAACAGGAAACTGTTTTTGCTAGAGTTTTAAAGTCAAATTCTCATCAAATTTTGATTAAAGCCAATGCTACAGTTCAAACTGGGGTCCTACCACCTCATGGGAGGTCAGAGGACTCCCTGAGGCAGGAGAAAGTGCAAGTTTGGGAACCTGCTGCCTCCCCAAGTTTTACTTGGTCATTTTTTCTGCAGGATCAAAGGCCTTGTTGCCCCCAGGAACAGAGGGGTTTTCCCAGCACAGGCAAATGGGAAACTTATAAACTTGGACTCCGCAGGGTTCTAGGTTTTTAGAAGGTATCAGTGTTGCATTAACTAGGGGAAAAATCGTTAAGACTCTAAAAAGTTAATTCCTAGCATGGGTCCACTGAGTAGCTGGCATTCACCTGTAAAGATGGTATAGATTGGACATTCTGGAAACTAATCACCAGATGCTTGCCTTGCCTGTGTGTGACAGTCTTAGCTGAGAATGCTGAGAGGCAGTGGGGGTGGGGAGAGAGGGGAGTAACTCCACCTGTGTCACGGCCTGCTGGCTGGCTCTCCACCTGTGTTCCCGGAGACACAGCATCACCTGCAAACCTGTCAGACATGCAAATCCTTGGGCTCCACCCAGACTTCCTGAATCAGAAACTCCCAGCCTTGCAGGCGGTTCTTCGGCCCCTGAACTTGAGCACCTGTGTTGGGTGGCGGCCAGCATGGGCGCAGGCGCCTCCGGGGGGCGCTGCTGGTGCCTGCCAGCTGCGGAGAGTTTGGGTGATTCACTCAGCCTGTCTGTGCCTCGGTTCCCTCCTCCTGAGGAGGAATAAAATGCTATAAATGAAGAGCATACGATGCCCCGCAGGCATGGCTCAGGGGTTGAGTGTTGACCTGTGAACCAAGAGGTCACAGCTTGTCAGGGCACATGCCTGGGTTGCAGGCTCAATCCCCAGTGGGAGGTGTGCAGGAGGCAGCCAGTCAATGATTCCCTCTCATCATTGATGTTGCTATCTTTCCCCCCTCTTCCTCCCTCTCTGAAATCAATAAAAATCATTTAAAAAAAAAAAAAAAGGCACCTGATAAAGTGTAAGTGATAAAGCAGGCATGTGAGTGAGGTCATTGCTGGACCCCACAGCAGGATGACGGAGAAAGCGTTCATTTGCCAAACTCACTAGCACCTGGGAGAACTGCATGTAGAAGAAGCTACTCAGGTTGATGGCTGGGATTACTTAATGATAGAAGAGTAACTACCGCAATTATTTCCAGTCACTGGTGGGTTAGAAAAGAGTGAAGTATGTGTATCCTTTTCGTGTAAGACGGAGAAGCAATGTGTACAAGTGTGAGTGTGTGTGTGAGTGTGTGTGTGTGTGTGTGTGTGTGTGTGTGAGAGAGAGAGAGAGAGAGAGAGAGAGAGAGAGAGAGAGAGAGAGAGAGAGGCTCAGGAAGAGGCACTTCAGAACAGGAGGAGGTAACAGACCCTGTGGATCTGAAAGCGATCACATTCAACGCCGGCGGCCGAGGCTTAGGATCTCTGGCCCCGCTCTTCCTGCCGTGAGCCCTCTGCGTGGGGAAGGCGGGGTGCCCCGCCGCCCAGGTCCCCGCCGCCTCGCTTGCGAAATGGGTGTCGGATGCCTAGGCTTTGACAGTCCTTTCAACTCTGACGGTCTGTGACTCAACAACAATAATGCGTTTCCACAGGCGGTAAAAATATTCTAGACTCTTCCCTTCAGCCCGCAGTGTTTACTTCCTTCGCACTTCCCCTTCCTGCCTCCTGCCCGGGCCAGTGGACAGTGGGCCTCAATGGGGGCCAGCTCACCCTCTTTCCAGGGGGCTTTACGGTGGCACTCCCTCCGGAGGGTGAGAGTTCCCTCCCGAGGGCTGGGCTTGGGGCTGCAATTTAATCCCAAAACCCTCCTGAGCCTGTGCCTGGCACCATGCCAGCCTGCCAGGGTGGGGGAGGAATGCTGGGCCCAGCCCTGGGGGTGGCGAGGGGGGCGGGCTGTGAAGGGTCCGTCTCACTGGCCGGCTTCTTTGGGAACACCTGCGAACCCCACGTGTCCTCTCTCTTGCAGGCAGGAGCAGCGCCCCATGGTGGCCAGGTGGGCGAAGGGGAGCCAGGACGGTGCGCCCGCCTTCAAGAAGAGGGCTTCTGACCTGCTGAGTAAGTGGCCAGCAGCCAGCAGCGCGGGGGCACGGGGTGCAGAGAGGGAGGCCGAAGGGGTCCCCCTCGGAGTGCTGTCCCCCCCGCTGCTCCTTTTCACGGAGAGATGCTGACCCCAAGACCCAGAGGCCCCAGGGCTTCCTGCCCCGGCCTCCCACGGGGCCCTGCTAGGAGGCGCTGCGGGTCGGTGACGTGGACACAGGCCTGCAGGAACAGGGGCAGGAAGCGGATACAGCTCTTCCTGCTGGCCCGCTGCCCCCAGGGGAGAGGCTAAGGCTGGAGCTCCATGGCACAGCCTCCACACAGCCCAGGCCAAGTTTCCTGGTAGCTGCTTGTGCCCGTAGGACCCCGTGTTTCCCTCACACCCCCATCTGCAGTTTCCATTGCAGCGGCCTGAACGGCAGGCTCTATCCCGCAGGTTGGGTGTTAAGGGCAGGCAGTGACTTGTCTCTGACAAGCGGGAGTTCTGAGCTTGATGCTGCCCTTGGGCACGCCAGTGGGGCCTTGTTTCCAAGCGTAATGTTCCCCCTGGTCCCGTCCCCCATGGCCACAGAGACAGGAGGCTGCAGGGGGGGGGGGGACGCTACAGACCCAGGCTCGCCCATGAGACCCTGTGCGTTTCTTTTAAATGGATCCCTAAGTAAGAGGAACAGGCTTCAGTGGGGAAAAGAAATCCGGAACAGCTCACGGCCCTTCTTTGCCACGGACATAAAAAGAGAGAATGAGTTTCCTTTCTCAGAAAAGAGCCAGGTCATTCCGGGGACAGTCAGTCAGTGACACCTCCCGCTAACGGAGCAGGAACACTGAAGTGCATGCAGTCCGTTCCCACGTGGCCGCCTGGGATGGACCCATTTCACTCTCCTTGGCGGGATTTGCTGAGAATGACTCTCAAACCTCCGATCCAGGTCCCATTGCTCCAAAGCAAGGTTATGGCATGAATCACAGACCGCTGCATACCGGTTCCTTTTGATCACGGGGATTAAAAAAAAAATGTTTTAAATGCCATTTGGGGTGGGAAAAGTAAACATGCCAGCCAGGTAGAGTTCCCCCTCATCACTCCCATTATCTTTTCAAGGAATGTTGGGTGACTCAGCCCAGTCCCCGGCAGGTGCTTAAGAGGCCGGGTGGCCTCAGCCCCAGCGTGTCCCTGTCTGTGAACCAGCAGCCAGGGTAGGAGCCCAGCTTGCTTCCCGGTAGGTCTGTTGGCCCCACGGCTCCGTGCCTGCGGGTGCTCACTTGTTCTTTAACTCTTTGGAGTGTATCCCCGTGCCGGTTCTGTGGTTCTAAAGAGGTAAGGCAGCATGTGCGTGCCATACCGAAATGCCATACCTGTTACGGGATACTGATAACACTTCTAAGATTGACCGGCGTATCGATGAAGCTATTCGTCAAGCTTAATTATTCACTACGTGTTTGATTTTGGCTGGGGATAACTTAGTCTCCTCTGATGTAACCAAGATTAGGAGAGGTCGTGGATTCTAGAGTATTCATTAGGGAGGGGGATAAATGGCTATTACAAGGAATACCATGCAAAAGGGTAAGTTTTAAATATTTTTATTACAAGCTTTAAAAATTTGTATTTGTATTCTCCGTCGCTCATCAAGAACTACCTATGGATGGTAAATTTTAGTTCTATCTCTACTGACCCTATGCTTAGCCAACTTATTTTTAAATTCTCTACAATTGGATGGTAGTTGGATATATTATACATAAGCATGTCTAACACTCTGTGGGGTTGCTGCATGTGGGTATGGTATCGCAGAGGGAAGATTAGCATCACATTTTAAACGGGGGGGGGGGGCGCAGGGAGGGAGAGGGGTGAATGGGGGCTCGGTTTTGGCCCTTTATAGCACTATCTCATTTAACCATCACAAAACCCTGAACACTAGGCTTCATTCTCATTTTACAGATCAGAGAGCTGAGGTCCAGAGAGGTTAATCGCTTGGCCCAGCTTACCCAGAGTCCACTTTGAACTCAGGTTTGCTTGTCTCTAGGGCCGCGCTCCTCCCCTCGCCCTGCTGCCTTCCTCAAGTCCAAGTGGGTTCGTCTTGCCTGCAGAAGTCTCCTTGCTTCTGTCCATCCACATGCTTTCATGCTCATGTCACCTGTTTATCCAGGTTCTGGCTGCTGGGCATTCTGCCACCTGTGACAATGACAACACGTTTCTCTTTGTCCCTTCCTAGGTGGTCCCAAGAGGCCGGCAATGGACCCCGTGCACCTCAGCATGTCCCGCGCTCCACTGGTGAAGCACTCGGACAGGCCCCGCGTCATGTCCAAGAGCGGGCACAGCAACGTGAGGATCGACAAGGTGGATGGCATCTACCTGCTCTACCTTCAGGACCTGTGGACCACCGTGATCGACATGAAGTGGCGATACAAGCTCACCCTGTTCGCGGCCACCTTTGTCATGACCTGGTTCCTCTTCGGCGTGATCTACTACGCCATCGCGTTCATTCACGGCGACCTCGAGCCCGGCGTGCCCATCTCTAACCACACCCCCTGCATCATGAAGGTGGACTCGCTCACGGGGGCGTTCCTCTTCTCCCTGGAATCCCAGACCACCATTGGCTACGGCGTCCGCTCCATCACGGAGGAGTGCCCTCACGCCATCTTCCTGCTGGTCGCCCAGCTGGTCATCACCACCCTGATCGAGATCTTCATCACGGGCACCTTCCTGGCCAAAATCGCCAGGCCCAAGAAGCGGGCGGAGACCATCAAGTTCAGCCACTGCGCGGTCATCACCAAGCAGAACGGGAAGATGTGCCTGGTGATCCAGGTGGCCAACATGCGCAAGAGCCTCCTGATCCAGTGCCAGCTCTCCGGCAAGCTCCTGCAGACCCACGTCACCAAGGAGGGCGAGCGCATTCTCCTCAACCAGGCCTCCGTCAAGTTCCACGTGGACTCCTCCTCCGAGAGCCCCTTCCTCATCTTGCCCTTGACCTTCTACCACGTGCTGGATGAGACCAGCCCCCTGAGAGACCTCACCCCCCAAAACCTGAAGGAGAAGGACTTTGAGCTCGTGGTGCTCCTCAACGCCACCGTGGAGTCCACCAGCGCCGTGTGCCAGAGCCGCACATCGTATATCCCCGAGGAGATCTACTGGGGCTTTGAGTTCGTGCCCGTGGTCTCTCTCTCCAAGAACGGCAAGTACGTGGCTGACTTCAGCCAGTTCGAGCAGATCCGGAAGAGCCCCGACAGCACGTTCTACTGCGCGGATTCTGAGAAGCAGAAGCTGGAGGAGAAGTACAGGCAGGAGGACCAGCGGGAGAGAGAACTGCGGACTCTCCTCTTACAGCAGAGCAACGTCTGATGGCGGCGCCCTGGCCTCGGTTGACCCTGCGGCCATTCCCACGTCGGAGCTCCTTTGAACAAAATTGGGTGGGTACCTTCTAAACACACTGCCCCGGTGGGCAACATCCATCTTCTCCTTTGATTTGGTGGCGCAACAAGAATCTCCACATTCCAGAGGGCTCCTTGTTTAGATGCTTTGTCTGAAGCGAACTCCCAAAGTTCAAATTTTTGTATTTCGCAGGACTTGGTGTAGGGCCGTGGTCGGCAAATTGTGACACGTGAGCCACATGTAGCTCTTTGGCGCCTTGAGTGTGGTTCTTCCCCAAAACACCACGGCCTGGGCAAGTCTATTTTGAAGAAGTGGCGTTAGAAGAAGTTTAAGTTAAAAAAATTGGCTCTCCAAAGAAATTTTAATTGTTGTTACTGTCGATATTTGGCTCTGTTGACTAATGAGTTTGCCGACCACTAATGAGTTTGCGATTGCAAACGTCCTGCAGGATGGACAGACATCCAGCATGCTGAGAGTGAAGGGAAGGCATTTCTCTATAAGGTCGTCAGCTGTAATATAAGGTATTTATGCAATCCAATAGCAAAGGCATTATGGCCTTGAAATGTGGTTCAGTGTTCACTCATATCATTGTTTAAACTCTTTTCAAGCAGAGAAAATGTTGTATGCTCTGGATGCTATTTGTTAATACAGCAAACGGAGCAGGGGGAGTCTATACTCACAAAACATAATGATTTCACTTCTGCCTTTTCCCAGTGGACTTAATTGTGCAGCGCGGAATCGGTCAATCAGGAATTACCAGTTGTGAGAACATGTACAGATGGAACTAAGCTGTTGTCCGCACTAATTTTTGCTGGAATGTACTAGCCCCTTCCTATTCAACATGTGGCTCCCAGGCCAGTAGCATCAGCCCCTCAAGAACTTATTAGCCACATAGAGGCCCAGGCACTACCCCACTTAGAGACTCAAATTTATATGGTCGCCAGCCAGGCGTTTGGAAAGCTCCTCTCTGGGCAGTGCATTCAGAGTAACCTCAGAAGCTGCGGGACAGTGAGGGTCTCCTGTCCAGGTGGCCTCTAGATCTGTCCTTCTTCGGTTCATCATTGTGCACCAAGCTTCCTTTCAGCCACTTCATCCCTGATCTATTAAAATATCTTGTCCACAGAGGAAGTGCCACTGACATTCCGAGAGCAAAATAAAACTCTTGTAAGTAATGGTCGTCTCATTCATGCTAAGTACCTGGTTGTTGATGATGGTTAGAACCACAGGAAAATGAAGTTGTGCCATGGTTAGATGTGTGCTCCGATGGTGAAATCTAGCAGGTCAGGTGGAGTCACGAGGAAGGGGAATGGCTGAGGATGAATAATTCATACACAGACCCACTCCTGGAAGCATAAACAAAATTTGATAATTTGATAACATGTCAAGAATGTCCTCAGTATTTAAACAAAGCTTGTGCAACTCAGTGTTACAGAGGTAACATTTGCCTTTGACAGAATTTGGGGACCAGGCACCCTGAATGTCTTTGGAGTCGAGAAAATATGGGCAACAATTGGCTAAATGTGCTAAAGGTGAACTCTCACTTTATTCGAAACAGATGGATTTGCATATTCCCTCAAGAAAATTGTGACTATAAGTATGTAGATGCCACATATGTATATATACATGCATACATAGGCACAAGCATGCAAACAACACAGACACAGGCACACACATGCATGTGACACACACACATATAATACACACACACACAGAGGGATGCACACCCTAGCTCTTAAATGAAAGACATTTGCAATTAAAATTTTGTTCTCTAAGATGGGAAACATTGGGACTTGGAGGAAATGGGGAAAGTAGTAGTGATTCAGATTGTTTGGTGAATGGGTGACATGGACCACAACAAGTGAGGCCATCTCTTGATATCACCAGATTTCAAATGTCCTTTTAACAGAACATGTGGCTAACACCACTGACCTGGAGCAGCCCATCTAATGCAGGGCCAGAATAATGGGGGTAAAGTTGTAAAGGTTCAAAGAACAATCTCAATGCACAAAAGGTTTTGTCTTATTCAGGAAGTTTTCCTCTGTTTCTGTTGATAGCTTTATGGCAGGTTATCTTTGATCTTTAAAAAATTACGTGTACTTAGATATGACCCCTTTTTGTTGTGATGTGTGCTTTTTTATTGTATGTTGTAGTATAATTGGCAGAAGAATAATGCCAGGGGCATGTTTACAGATTTTCCGTCGCACAAGTAAATTCTTCTCACAGTATGCCATCAATGTCACTTGGAATGTGACCAAGGTTAGTAATCTCACATGCTTATATTGTATATGGTACAATGATGTAGCACAGGATAGAAAAATCTCTTTTATGTTCAGTTGGCAATCTACTTCAGCCAAATTTGGAAGACTTGATCACCTGATCTTTCGCATTACACACAAAATAAATATGCAGTGTCTTAAAAGCCAATACTCGTGGAAGTCAATAAGTGATATTACAGTGTGGTTTTTCATACATAGCTCTAAAGTCGTGGCTGGTTTGAAACTTAGCATTTTCCAGTGATATTTATTATTACTTTCTACAAAACACTAATGTTGACTCTAATGCTAACAAAGAAAGGATTCTGATGGCAAACTGATTCTATGTGAACAGTCTTCTGACTGAAATATATTCATGCCTGAACACATCCCTCCATCCCCTGCAACTAAGAAGTCAACTAATGGAGTGTTTTTGACCCAAAAAGGCTTTTGTGTCTTTAAGGATTTCTAATGCACCAGGCCTTCTCAGTGAGACCATTCAAAAATGCTGTGTTCCATCAGAGAAACCACAAAGCCATGTCTTATTTCAGAAATAAGATGTGTTATACTGAATGGTACCCAGCAACCAGTGGTCCCAGAAGCATAGCAAAGTTTCCCTCATTGGCCCTCACAGTGGGCCACCACTGGGATGGGGTGGAGGCACCCAGGGGTTCCCTGCCCCACTCATGGGGATGTTACAGCTCAGAGAGGAGACCAGAAATTGAAATAGCTGGTTCAAAAGGGAGGGGGTGGAGATGCCATCAGTGAGTGGACCAGATATTTAGATGCATTTAAACAACCCATTGAATTCAATTTTCAATTTTTACTTCACTGTGATTTCACGATCACTGAAATGTAAAGTAAGGTGTAGAGACATGTGACACTTCTATTACAGTATGATTCCTTCTCTCTTGGTTAGATGCTAGTCCTCCTATATCACCTGGAGGAAGAAGAAAATAGAAAAGCAAGGCAAAGAAGGCACAGGGCCTTTGGCCTGGTAACTCGATAAAGATCATCTCACCCTTGGCCTTCATTCTCTGTCTTGTCACCATGGTCTAAGGTTAAACTTTTGATCATAGGACATAAGGGAGCCTTCCAGTGTTTCAATCTAGACTTTTCTTTGAAATAACTAGATTTGAATCCTGGTTTTCTCATCATAGCTCCGTGGGATGGGACTCTTTAATGAGAGGCATCAACATTCAGTCTTGGTTTTCAAGCTCTCTAGCGTGCACCCGACTTCCTACATTTGACCCAGGGTAGGTCCAAGGTACAATTGATGTTCTTCCCCTGGGAAGATGCACACTTGAAGGTCCAAAGCTTGACATTTCATTTCCAATGATCAACTGCACACATTTTGCCCTTTGTGAGTTTCAGTTTATCTTTAATCAGAATGACCTGCCAATCAACCAAACCTTGTGCCTGGGTTCTGCAGTGAGTGGTGGGTGTTGGTTCTCAGCCTGAAGGGCCTCAGAGCAGAGCCAAGAGTCTGCACAGTTAGAATGTGCAATGAACTGATATGTGAGAACCCAATTGAGATTTTAAAGATGAAAAGAGTTAACTTCTTGAGGTACTGGTATTTGTCAGTAAACTTTTTCTTATTATGAGGTTCTGATTTTTTTTAAAGAATATAAAACAAAATCTTCACCATCACCATTGGAAAATAAGGAAGGCAGTGAAAAAAGTATAAAAATGGAAAGCTAGGGGTTGACTGAGCAGCTCTCACGTAAGCCCTTCTCCCAATAGGCAAGAACTTCTTTGCAGGCAAAGCTTGGCCACTCATTTTACATTACAACTGACTGTCATTATATTCTCAGCCTTCCCAGGAGGCCCAATTTCCCCAATCTTTCAGAAACATCAATGGATTAAGTTCAATGCCCCCCCCCCAAGTTTTTCCACTAAATGCTGACTAACAACAAAATACGAGGCATAAATAAGGCTTCAGAGAGCTTGAAAACCTTTCCCTTCATTCTCATCTTCTGTCTGTCTCCTGGGGACTTGGTGTCCCCTCCACTTGATATGTGGTGGTTGGCTGTTCCATCCTGGCTGTCCATTCCATCAAGTCAGATAATCCTGTGGGTTCAAAGTAATCAATCCAAAATCATAATCCTGAGATGTTTATGGTAGATGCTCAAAAATTGGGGACAGGAATTTTTTTTCCAATTGCTATGTTGCTGGTGTATAAACATAGAAGATGAAGAAAAAGCTCTTGATTAGAAGTGATGGGTAATTCCTAATAAAATTACAAGAATTGATTGTGTAAAATAAGGACATATCTTTTTTATTGATTTCAGAGGGAAAGTGAGAGGGATGGAAAGATAGAAACATCAATGATGAGAGAGAATCATTGATCAGCTGCCTCCTGCATGCCCCACACTAGGGATTGAGCTCACATCCTGGGCATGTGCCCTGACTAAGAATCAAACCGTGATCTCCTTGTCCTTAGGTCCACACTCAACCATTGAGCCATGCTGGCTGAGCAGGACATAATTTTCGATACATACTTAGAGAAGCCTAAGATGTCATATATGTATGTAAATGCCATATAACTCTGACTATAATCCCAGAATTAGGAATACCAGACTTGCTGTGTATGCAAGACACATCTCCTGTACTGCATTCTGGACGGACTTTATTGAGATGTTCTAAATGTCCTATCTTCATTTTTGTCAATAAATTAAAAATTGCATAGGCAGTTAGAAAATAAACCTTCACATGTAT